GTATCAAGGCCAACCGATAGGGTTACTTTCGTCACTGAGCATCCAGAGGGGCGGCCCAGAGTGCGCTGGATGCATAACCTGAACATGAAGATGATTGCGGCCATATAGGTTGTCCGCAGCCGATGCTTGGAATGAGAATCGTTGGGAAGTCTATAATAAAAAGAGCGCCCGACAACAGATTGTGAGGAATGCTGAAAAGGAGCAGCTCGCTGGTTTTTAATGTGTCCTGCTTTTCAACCTCTGCTCTGTTTGCCTAAGTCGTGCAAGATCTACTTACCCTCTCATCTTCCTTGCTTTCTGAAGATTCAGCTTCAAATTCCTCCGCTGTTTGTTCTCCCTTCACCTTCTGAAACATTAGCATATTAAAACGAGCCAAGTGGACTTGGCATTCGTGTTCATTGGATCAAACCACCTGCAGGGGCAAAATTCTAGTGCACTATACCTACAGCAGAGACTTTCGATCAGAATTGGCCCAGAATTTTGAAGGGTGGAACTAGTAAAAGTGAATAGTGCCTTTGAACGCTGCCCAAGCAGAAAAGTTCGCAGACAGCGGACAGCTGGTAGAGATAGGAGGGTAGCAGACTGCGGTAGGAGGGTACCAACTGTCTGCTACTCTCCTATCGCTCCATACTCTCCACTTACGGACACTGCTGGTCGCTGGTAGACGCTGGTGAACGCCGGTAGACGCTAGATCGATAGATACACTTTCCTAGTCGCTGACGTCGCCGGGGCGCTCAGAACGCTAGTGGTCATTGGTGCACGCTGCTGGTCGCTGATGAACGCTGCTGCAAAGTAGGGACGCAGCCTAACGAGTATAAAAGCAGTCATACATCCAATGACCGACTTTCTATGAACATCAAAAAGCGTGTGGGGTCCTCCTTTGATGTAACTTGAGCACCGCACCTCGCCTGTCTTTTGCCTTTGATGTGCCCTTTTTCTTTTCATCTTGCTCATGGAATTTCCTAAAGTTTGGACGAAAACTGACAAGTGATTTTCAGCTTGTCTAACTCGACGACTCTGTCAACAAATAGTCTACTGATAGGGGAACGAATCTATTCACAAAGCCATGAACCCCATCGTTGACTCTCGCGGGCGCTGTCCCTTGTAGGCAGAGGGCACGATTGCTGGAGGCGGGTGCTTGTTGCCAGCGTCATTGGTGGAAGGGCTGCGAGAGGGCGTTTGGCCACACCCCACTTAGCCCTTCCACCAATGACGTTGGCAAAACCGCCCGCCCAGCCATCGCGCCCACTGCCTCTAATTTTGATTTTCCTCAGTCGAACTTGGAAGTATGAGAGATTTTAGACATTGCCCAAAGTAGATGGGAGATACGTGGTGGAGCTGTACAGCTACGGAAGCTCTCATTTCTTAGCGAAGTACAAAGTCTCTCCTTCACTCAACTTGTATCTGTGTTTAGTGAAGATGAAGTTCGACTCCCCAAAACAGTTGCTATTATCCCTTCGTAACAGGTGTGGACAGTTTTTCCGATCTCCCTCAGGGGAGAGTGAGGCTTTGCAGGCTGTTCTGAGCGATCGCGTAACACAATTTGATCCCCAATTTCTCTAGTACACATGAGACCGACGAGTAGGGGGGGGGGGCAATATGACTTCAATTTGCTTGGCATTTTTCGCCCCGTAAGTCAAGATTTTCATTCAACACTGCGAAATGAAAACCGCGTCACAAAACTCCAATTACCTTGTTTGCACTGGGTTTCGAATCAGACCACTTGAATGCCTCTGAACTTTTGTCATCGGTTGCCTAAAAAATCGCTGACTTTTCCGCAGCCAAAATGGTAGCCTCTAGTCTGTCACGGGAACGGTTGGTACAAAAAGGATGAAGAACGGCTGAAAGCCATGTGTTTCGAGAGGAACTGAACTCTGTAGGGATTTGGTTTTTCAGTGGCGTTAACTCCTTTACGTGGAAAATCCATTCGAAACTAGTAGCAGTGGAGAGACTTATCAGACCTGGCGCCCAGCAAGATTCACTGGCAGCAAGTAGGCAGACGATTATTCTGGACACTCAAAAAAAATTCTGCTCAGGAAACCTAGTTCTTATAGAAGGTTGAGCGATTGAAAAATTCTAATTCGAGAAAATGGAAGCGCTGCCTACAGGTAACTTTCATGTTTCCATGGCCCTCGAGACGGTGATAAGCTATAGATATTTGCCACTTAGGTTCACATTATCTGCATTCCGTTCCGTCCCTTTCAAGAATGAATTTCACACTTCCTATCCGCTCCTCATGGGTTGTACATTACCATGTGGTCTTCTTCTCCCGATAGCAGCACGGTTGTTTCTCCGTCGTTGTCATCTTGGGTAGTGTCGGCCTGAAACAAAATGAAATTGCTACGAGAATGACGATTTATGCCTAGATTACTCGAAAACAATTTGCATCAAAGAAAATCTTGTCATTCATTTCTTCTTTGAAAAAGTACATTGGCCAGGTATGGAGGGTTACTTTCAAGCCCAGCAGTTGCGACAGCATAGGCGCTGCGAGCGGAGTGACGTAAGTAGCATTCAGACCGGGACCCAATCCACCAAACATGGTAGTGCTGAAGTGCGTCCACCGACTCTCTGCGTCTGCGTCTCTCAAGTGATGGCTCTCTCTACGCCTGTGTCTTTATAAAGCAGCCAGCTAGAAAACGTGAACGGCAAGAGAATCGTAAGGAGCCGCTTAGTCGCCCGCGGCTATGGGCGCGACGTTTCCTTGGTTTGCACTACCCTTTCGATTGGAGCATCGGATTTCATGTAGACAAGGACATGGTGGACACTTATGTCTATTTTTGGTCATACATTGTCTATTCTCGACCAATACCACCTGAAATCGTCGTCATTAGCAGGCGCGACGTCGCACGCGACGCCCACTGGCGCGGCGAATTACGATTCTCTTGCCACATACCCCTAGGAAATACTCTATTAGTGCGTGCGATAGCGTGAGCTGGAAGTAACGTTCAAGGACCACACTGGATGGGAGTCGAGCGGAGGGTCGAGGAGGGACCGGCGCCGCGCCAAACCTATCCCTGAAACACCCCACGTTCGCAGTGAACAAAACTATTTTGAAGAACTCACTTACTGGAGAATTTGAAACATTTGTGGTGTTTTCACCTTGTCTCATATACATTTCTTTGGGATCATCCATTCCACCACCTCAATAGCTCCGCTTATACTCTCTTTTCTCTCTCCTCATTGACATAGCCACTAATCAGTTGAATGTTGACCCCTCCCTTGCAGCGAGCGTTATTCCTCGCACTGAGTTATAGGTTCAGGAAGATAGAGTGCATGCAGTGCGCCCAAGAATCGTGCGTGAAAGTAATTGTGTTGGTCGTGAATGCACACAAGGGGCCGCAGGACTACGTAGCCTGTCCGATTGCTTGCGCGAACACGGCACATCACTGGTTGGGGATTTTGGTCGAGTCCGTACGACCCCCCCCCTTTTTTTGGGGTTGGTACGACCCCCCCCCCTCCGGCCCTCTGTCCCTCCTCATCGAATCGAGCCGTCGAGGGGTAAATAGCACATGTGAAACAGCCGCGAGACAATACGACCCCCCCCCTTCTACCAATTCTCAGATTTTCCCCAACTTCCTGCCACTTTTTCCAAAATTTCCCGAAAACTTCCCTACTTTTTCCTAAAATTTTGCTGTCGAGTGGGGGAATGGTATAAATAAAACGCGTTACGGTATGCCCGATGTGTGCGTTCACGACGCAACATCTTTAATTCACGCGCAATTTTTGAGGGTACTGTGTGCGCCCTGACATCCTGAACCTTGGAGAATTCTCGACTGCGGCTTGATCTTGAGCCGAGCGTTTCTCTTGCCAGTTCAGCTAGCAATCAGTGCTATTGTATGATATCTCCATTTTGCTGAAAAATGTGGTAGATGCGCATGCTATGTCTGAGCTATTTTTGGGAGTAAAAATTAGTGTCACCTACATTAACCGTTCTCTGGTAGATTAGTAACTGCAGACCATCTGTGCAACTCGCTTTGACAGCGGTTTCATCAGCTCTGCTAGGAGGTGCACTCTCAAATGCTTCCACGGTTCTCCACGAGAATCAAATGCGCTGTTAATCTATTGATTAACACTCACTAGCCCGTGCTTTTTGTGTTTTGTAACTTCTAGTTTTTTCCTACTTCTTATTGCAAATTATTAATTACGAACGGCACCTACTTCAACAGTTGACGGCATCAGTGACGTTTCAGTACTTTCATCGATGTCCTCAATCAGTGATTCGGCCGATCCCTCTATCTGAAATCGTCGCAGTGCTCGCTTGTGTAATGACTATATTGTTATGCTGCAGAGGGAGCGAGTTAGTGTAGGTCGATAGGTATAGGTATGTTGGAGCTGCGCTTAAAAGGGCGCTGCTAGGAAGAAACTCCTAGACTGAATCTAAACAAAGTTGCTTTTCCAGAAAAAAAAATAACGAACCACGTCGCTCAAAGTTTCGTTGACTGACGAAGTTGTTTTGTTATTGGAGAAGTCCAGCAAACTGCTACCCGTGGGTGTCTGGAATTCATTTGAACATTAGTTTGAGTCATAACTTGAGGCTTCTTCAGTACCACAGAAGCACATCTCGCGATGTCTAAAGGGGGGGGGGGGAGTGGAACGGCCGAATCTAAAACCGTCGTTCCTCCTCACTGATGCACTTTTAACTTTAAGGTATAGGTAAAAAGGAGAGGTACCCCTCTGAGGCTCTCCTGGGACGTACAGACGGACTGAGCGCAGCTCACTGTCGACCTATGAGACATTTCAAATCGCTACTGAAACTGTATAGGAAAATGTAGTAAGTAGTTAGACTATGAGTGCCGTGTGTGTAGGAGATAACCATAGTCCGAGTTAAAGTCGAGTCAACTCGTTTCCCAGCTATTTGTAGAGGGTCCCCTGATTAGCTGAAACTGAGCGAGGTGTTGAGGGAAACAGCGGATGTTGTCTCAGAATCAGGTCAACGTAATTTTCACCCTGACCAAGAGCAGTGCGGTTTGGTCACGTTGCAGTTCAGTTCTCTTATATCCTTGTACCACGAAAGTGAAGGGATAGCTTGAAAACGAGAGACGGCGACGACCATCATAAGCCACTATTGCACTGTTCACATAGGACTAGGTGGCCACTAATGCAGTGGAAACTACGGGATTCTATGCACATGCCCAGCAGTGGACAGATGAACTTTATGTTGTTTTGGGTTGTTGCTTATTCTGTTTTCCTCCGAGCAACAGTCATTGAGCAGTACTCACGATGAGTGATGACGCGCTTGCAGTGATCTCTGTGCTTACCACTGCATATCGGTACTGTGGAATGGGCGGCGACATCAACCCCTACACCTTCCTTATTGGTTAGCTCTTCGTTCCACTATGGTGACGAGAAGGGCACGTCAATAAGGAGGGTGCAATGGTTACAATATATTTCCATCTAACTATCGTGCAGTGTTCGTTTACCAACAACAGGTACGGTAATTGTCGTTGTGGGACCATCTCTTTTGAAAGAGGTGTCCTACCTCTGGAGTGGTTACTATATCCTCCGCAATCCTCTGCGTGACGGATGTTCCGTTCATGTATACGGTTGTCCTGGTGGACTTCCCTGTCATTGCACTGACCGACACGGCCTTCGATGCGTCTAAGGGAATTTTCTGGTTCTGTAAGCGAAAATAAGAACAAGACTCTCAAGTTATATCCATCTTATACGTGTTGTACTAGAACCGATTTAATTTCATGATGGCCAAAGCTCTGTAGTGTGGAGCTTTACTCACGAGTCGAGGCAACGCGCGCATTAACAGAGTACTTCCTAGCTAGTTGACTTGACAGCATAGGCACAGGGCATCTAGTTGACTTGGGATACGCACACCCAGGGACAGTAGAGAGAGTCGAAGCGAGTAGATTGAGTCCTGGTGAGGAGGCTGCGTCACCCCGCATGCAACGTTTCTTGAGTCGCATTGCCGCGCCTCGAAAGTTACGCTCCACATCCGAATCTCTGAATCCATCTTTAAAACATAAGAATGAGATGAGAAGGGTTGAGAAGAAAATCATAGTTGAAGAGGAAACATTTACAGCATCCATGACATGAACATCATGACTGAACCCTCTTCTATGCACAGTCACAATCCCTGGAACGTAAAGGGGCGTGGGCTGAATCGCAGCCATAATAGGTCTTCCCGTTAATGGATGCGATCATTGATGGAAAAGACAACTCGAACTCAATCCCTTCAAATATAAACTGTGCACTGATTTCCGCGGATTCTGGTCCTAGTTATGTTTGAGGTCCTTTCCATGTGAACGAATGGGTCCACAGCTGCAGTAGCGTGCAGTTCCCGGCCAAAGGTGGCGGGAACGGAGCTCGAGGGAAGTGATACACAAGAGCCGTTTCCATAGTCCGCCCGCGCTGCCGCACGGTCAACTACTCGCTTAAAGACACTTCCCGCGATTATGTGATCAGCGAAATGCCTCCGTGCATTTGGCATCGTTGTCCGCACTCGCAGAGAATATACCACTTTCGTCACTCGAAATGGCGAGATAACGAAGCTAGAGACGCGTGAGTTTTGCAACCGGTGCAACCGCGTACTGTAACTCTGCAAGACAACGGCTTACAAGCGGAATTGCGTGTGTACATAGCGTTGCCTGGAGCGTCGTAGGGCGATTTTCTATGCTCTTGCCGGGAATCGTTGCACCTATAGAATCCTGGTGATGGGCTTTACTGGTGATGAACTCGTCCAAGGCGTCGGCCCCACTGCTCTGGGGGGGGGGTCTGTGCTCAGAGTGTTCCTTCTTTCGCTTCTTTCCCTACTGATGAGTTTTTGATGGGCTACTGGTTCATGACTGAGCACCTGCTACCTATTACACTTGGTCGCGGGAATTGTCTTTAACCATAATTAAACGCGCTACTTGTCTGCGCCCTCTCACTTCTGTTTGGGCTCTACCAGTGAAAGCCTGCTCCGTTGGTTGGTTTCGACGCAAGTGCTGCACATTGAGAGTAGCGCCGGCCTAATATAGAGGAGACAGCAGTCGGGTACCACCATCCTCCAAACCCGTTCCTGTGCAGTTTTGATTGGTGCGCTACTGCAGCTGTGGACCCATTAAACTCGTTCATGGGAAGGACCGTCCTCGGAAGTGAGAGGATAGTCTGTCTTCAAGTACTGCCCACATCGTTCTCGTCTCTTTGGGACTCATTTTATCGTGTACTGAGTTCAGGGATGGTAATTTTGCATGGCCGCTACCTCATGAAAATCCTTTATTAACCTCTCCTAGTCTGCGCACCGGTCCAAATTAGCTATAAGGAGCTTTGAGCAACCAAAGGTGCTCACCTTATACATGTTCTTGTACGTCGACTTGGAGTGAGGAGACGCGATGATATCATCTTCCTTCAGTAGATTGATGAGAACTCCGTTGAAATGACCGGGAGGCATGTGATCCTCTGAAGAACCGCTCTTCAAACCCTATACTGAGAAAATACCAAAAGCAGAAGTCACGCTAGAGCCGCTTTGTGAGAGCTAGAGCCAGGGTACAGCATCGTTGTGCGAAGCAATGGGGGGGGTCGTCTTGCCGCTTGGGAGGGGGGGGGGTCGTAACTGACCACTGGGGAGGGGGTCGTATTTGGTCGTTGTTGGGAGAGAGTGGTCGTATGTGCCTTTGAGAGGAATTTGTTCCCCCCTCCTAGTTGGTGGCGCCGCCAAAATTCTATGTAGCTACTATTGCTGATAGCAGAAAATAGTAGCTGGTTGCTGATGGCCTCTTCCCCCTCGCTCAACGAAAAATTTAGGGACTGATTTTCGGAAGATATCGGAGAAGTGGTAGGAAGCTGGGACATGAGGAAAGTGGTAGGTCGGTGTGCGAAAGAAGAGGTGGGGCTGTCGTACGCGAGACGGGCGCGCTCTATCAGGAAGATGTCGTAGTGACCTACATTTCTCCCTCGAGGGAATACGTGAACCGTGGGGCTAGAGGCGCGTTTTGGACGGCCAGTCCGATGGGAATTAGGCGCGCGCGGGCTGCGGACGCTTTTCGCGACGGCGCAGATATTTTGCGCCTTGTCGTGGGCTGACAGGCGCCCTGGTGGCCGCGGTCAGTTCTCTGTCGCAATCTAAGTGCGATAATCGCGCCACTTCTGCTCTTGAGTAAGTAACTCAGTAACTGACCTTTGGATGACGGAATTCGTTCCTGAGCGGTGTTTTTGGATTTACGTGAAGGCATGATTGGTGGCGATACCGGGAGCATATTTGCGTTTTTGTTTCTGAATAAAAAAAAATGCGATGTGTTGCTCTACATATGGGGTGTTTCGCCAAAAGGTTGTCCATGGGGGTGGGAAAAGCTTCAGTGAATACTGAGTAGTGCAGATACGAGTTGCGGCCGGCCAGGACCCGAACCTTGGGACATCAACTCTTGTGAGCTGGTAGCTAAGCGGCATTACACACAGCAGAGAGCTCGCTGAAGGAGCGCTTTCAGCGCAATCTTATAGATTAGAAATGAGAAATGGATTCGTAGGCATACGAGAATAATTGTGTGAGGCTATGAACTTATAACGCGCCGGCGGCGACGGTTCGGTGATACGGTCTTGTTCGCTACGGTAGATGGGCGTGTCAGTGCAGCTGCCTGTTGGCAGGGGGGGGCGCCAGAACCTCTTCTCCACCACCTGAAAGGCAAGGGAAGAGTTGGTCGAAGAACAACGACTGGTTTGAGACGATACGATAAATACGGGCAATTGGCACGGGGACTTTATCCGTCCGCAGGCGAACTAGAGCCGTGAACTGTGTCGATGAGGGGTAAATGAGGGGTAATGCGGGCGGATATCGTTTTTTTTTTTTTTTTTTTTTTTTTTTTTTTTTTTTTTTTTTTTTTTTTTTTTTTTTTTTTTTTTTTTTTTTTTTTTTTTTTTTTTTTTTTTTTTTTTTTTTTTTTACGGAGAACTGCAAATCATTTCTACGATGAGAAGTTTTCCTGGACCGGCTCGGTTTTTTGATGGTAGTAGTGGAAGGAGTGGTTGTGGTTGGTGGCGTTTGCTGAGTTAAAAGATGTTGGGTCAATGAGAGTAGCTCGAGAACAAACAATTAAGGATAAACCCAGAACGACAACAAGTTACGTCAAAAAGCAATGGGCTTATAAAAACGACAACTAGCATGACGAGGTGGGCTATCGTGCGGATCACTCCCTTTCGGAAGTTGGTGTCGGCCTCGGCGAGGTCACAGTTGCAGCTGACGGCAGGCCCAAAAGTATGTTACACTGCTAGTGTCGCTGGCCGGACGTTTGGGTGTAGGCGCCATGAGTGGTCAGCCGTCAAAGCCGTTCTTTGGCCTTTTTTGTTGAAGCGCAGGCATGGAGACAAAAGTGGTATGAAAACGAGTAATTCGCAACGGTGTCGGATACGAGTCATATCGCACCCTATGAGTTTGCGTCGGCGGCAATTATTTACACCTTTTACTAGCCCCACCATTATCGAAAATCAGGCCAGCTCCTGACTCGACTTTTTTGTCCTCCGTGTGGCAGATTTCGTCACATGTTGTCCTTGCCTGGGGTGAGTGTTGATCCGTCCAGAATACAAATATCAGGATTCGCGTCAAGCCCAAAACTTCGCTGCGCCGCGCCACAGGCCGCCAGTTGATGTTGGGCTATTTTGGCGCCGGTGCCCGTGGCGGCGGCACCAGGTGGTTTCGGGTCAAGGACCGTTGCAGAGAATTCGTGTTCAGGGGGCTCGAGACTACGCCCCGAAGCCAAGTTGTTGCAGGGGAAAGTTCTTGCCACGCGAAAACCAGTCGGTCAGGAACTGGCCTGTTTTTCGGATGACTGGGGTAGTAAACAGGTAAGATAGGTGCCTTGCCTCGCTTCACAAGTGTAGAGAAGGGTTTTGATTGCGTGGGCAAATCTCATCCCGCCTGGTCACGCGACCCAACCGCTCCGCAGGCGAAGCTACACGTGAGGAGGGTATTACTTTCTTGCTAGTTGACTCAACAGCACTTGCACACAGCTCTTCCTGCCACATTGAGGTTTTGGTGAGAATGCCGCGCACGCGATGCCGCTGACAGCGCCACGTTTGCATCATAATCGCAACGTGGATCTCCTGCGACAGATTTCCCAAGAGTGAGGTAGCATAGAAGTAAGGGCGAAGCAATCTGTCAACGTGCTGTTGCAGCAGGAGTAGCAGAAGTGGTGCACACAAAGTTAAGCAATGTAGAAGCTTCTCTGTTGCCAAGTTTACACTAGAGCATAACGGAGCGGCAGCTTATCGCTCCCACAGTAGTAAACTTGGCCTTTAATGAAGACGATCTAGGTGGAGAGTCAGGCCAGAATAATGAGCTCCACCCAACAACATCCTTAGCACAGAAGAAACTCAATACGTAACAAATGGAAGCGTTAGTGAGCAGCAAACCAAAAGAGAAATCAAACAAAAATGACCACACCGTCTTTCTCCATGCAAAAAGCTGTAGTGGGCGAGGTCGCTGCGACGCGACCGCCCGCTTCTTAGGCCCTGTGCCGTCTTTGGCGGGACCTGAGCCGTTCTCTGCCCATACCTCTTCGAGAATTTGTCGACTTTGTTCCTTTCGCGCAGCTTCCAAGGTGGCTGGCACGAGGAAGTCTACTGTCTTCGGATCCTCCGACAGTAAAGAGGCCTTAAGAAGAATTATCATTTGATTGCTCTCTTGAATGATTAGTTCTAGAAGCACAACTACTCCTATTCATATCCTTTAGATCAAGCCAGCTACTTGTTAGGAATCCCTCCACCAGCCTTAATTACTTCTCGGATTCGTTGCACGTCTGATCCTCTGATTTCAGCATTCTTCTCTCGTTCCAATTCAGCCAAACGAGCGAAATTCCCTTGAGCTAGCAGGGACGCATAAACGGCAAGTCGCTGTTTTGGCATTCTTGAAATACTCGACGACATTGATAGCGTCAAAACTTAAGGTTCGCAGGCATATTCGCGTGCCCAGCGTTCCACAGCGTCTACCTAGCGTCGGAGCGTCTCACACGTCAGTCACTAAAGTATAGAATATCGATCTAGCGTCTGCCAGAGCCTACCAGCGTCCACCGGCGTTCACCAGCGACCAGATGCTATGGAAAGTAGGAGGGTAGCAAATAAGTGGATCAGGCGTCGTGAAATTGCTGCGCGGGCAACTGCGCTGCACAACTGCTAAAGCACAACACCATGCAACTTAGATACTCCCTATCGCTGGTGAAAGCCAGTGGACCCTGGCAGACGCTAGATCGATACCAATGCTTCCTTTGCCCTCGAGACGCTGGCAGAGGCTGGTGGACGCCGGCAGACGCTGCCGGACGCTCGGAACTCTAATGGTCGCTGTAGAGTGGTCACCGCTCAACTGCTAAACACAGAACTTGCAATTCAATGTACGGTGTAGTGTAGTTGTACGGTGCGGTTGCACACGCCGCAATTTCACGACGCCTAATCCAGCTGTTTGCTACCCTCCTACTTCCCCATACTCTCTACTCCCGGTCGCTGGTGAACGCTGGTGGACGCTGGTAGACGCTGGCAGACGCTAGATCGATATCTATACTTTCCTGGTCGCTGACGCTGCCGAATGCTCGGAACACTATGGACGCTGGTGGACGCTGCCGCAAAGTATGAACACAATATGAATTTCACTAAAGTTTTCAACGAGAACTCGATAAGTTGGTGAAAGGAAAAGCAAAAACGAAAAATAAACAAAACAGTGAAACGCACCTGAATAGGTTTCTTACGATGGCCACACGTTCTTCGCTCGTGATTGGCGTGTTTGTTTGAGAAACAATTGTCGTTTTGGGAATGTTCGTCACCGCGCTTTTCGCCACAATTGCATCCCTGAAGAACCCATTGCATAATTGCTCCTGGTATACGGCTAACTCTCCTCTTCTAACTAAAAGATGCTCCACGCTCATAAAACTGAACCAAAAGCACGAGGGGTGTTCAATGTATTCTTGGTACAGATATGAAGGAAAAGGCAGAAAATTTCGGATGAAAATTTATTTTTTAGTGTAGCTTTTAGTGTCGCCTGTAGCATGACTTCAATATCTTTGTAATACCCTCTAGACCAATAGTTTCCTCCTTGTCCAAAATCTGCCAAATGTGCGTAATTGCCCACTTGAGCCCTTCGTCGTCAGAAAAACGCTTTCCACTAACACCTTTCTAGGTTGGAACAGGCACTCACAAATCATTTCCCCATTTTTTCATTTTCTCAATTTTCTTTCCATTTTCTCAGTTTTTCTAATCAGCTATCATTTTCTCAACATTGTCGCATCAGTAATTCTGGTCTTCTTTCACCAAGGATAACTAGAATAGCGGAAGGACCCTCGTAGAAACGACTCAACTTCGCAAAACCCCTAGCTTGTGCCGGGAGCGCGCTGCTGTTGAGAGGTTTTACCCTTCCGAAAGGAGTTACTTCTCAGAAAATTTTAGGTAGAGCGAAGTGAGGACGTGGTCACCTTGGACCTTAGAGCAAGCTGCGTCCTCACTTCGTGGATTCGTAGATCCTTCCCATGTGCGAGGTGAATGGGTTCGCAACTGTAGTAGCGTGCTTAAAAGTGCACGGTGGCGCAGTTTGTCGACGGGGGGCATTTTGTACTATCATTGCTTCCTCAGTTCCGGTTTACATGTCTCACTCTGGCGAAACCTGTGAACTCTCTTGTGAAGCTGGAACAAGGTCGTCAAGCCATCATGTTAAAACCTGTCAACTCGAGAAGAGGCTGTCTAGATAGGTCGACACGTCGATGGGAAGTAGCAAAAGTGCAAAATGCCCCCCCCCCCCTCCCTCGTCGGCATACTGCGCCGTGCACGGTAACGGGTCTGGGAGATAATGTTACCGGGTGCCGTCTCCCCACTTTGCCCGCGCTTCCGCACGACCAGCCAATAACCATAGTCAGATGCGCTACTTGTCTGCGCCATCTGACTTCTATATGTTCTCCACTTCCGACTTCGTGTCAGCCTTAGGGCTTTGGCGTCGGCGAAAGTGCTGTCCCATTGAGGATACCCTAGGATTTGAAACGGCAATCGGAGATAACTACACTTTCATTTCCGCGTGCTCCAAAACGATGAAGGTGTTATAAATGTAAAGTCTTCGCCGTTGATCAATCCTTTGTGGGATGCGGCACGCATTCTACTTCCATTCAGAATCGTAGTGGCTTATTGAATGCGATGTGGCCTATACAATGACTTGCGGGGCCAGCCGATGTACAAGTCAGTGTTTTATCCTCCCAGACAAATCTGGTTCCAATTCACCTCATTCAGCGTAAGG